TAGAGAGAAAGAAAAGCCAGCTTAACTCTCAACACTAGTACAAGACAAATGTGCTATAGATTGTGCTTAAGCTGCTGGCCCATCAGACAGTGACAGTGGTCTCACAGCACATCAGGTACACAAACTGGAGAACTTCTACTGGAAAAAGGGTAGCTTTTGCCAGAAACACAGGGCACATTTTCCATTTTAACCAGACCCATCTGACTAAACAGAGCTGACCATTTCTGATCGCACACACATCCAGTACACCGCAAACAACAAAAGGTTGCTTCAGGACTGAATCTCTTGAGTTGAGCAATGAAGCGAATAGAGCCAAATGATGTCACTAATATAGACATGGAGTGAATCCGTCTGACAGACAGACCAGACATTTATCTATTTATTTTCAGCTGAGAGTATTTTATTATTAAATCTGGCTCCTTTTCCATCCACTGTACTTAATGGTGCTTATATATTAATAATTAGCCAGTTTCATGTAAGTCCATATCACACTGCATATTTTTTAATTCTCATTTGGGTAAATAATCCAGAATAGCAACATTTTAGTAGCAAAATCTTTAGTGTTTTTTAAGACAGGCCAAAATATTCCTGGTGAAAGCTGCCTGGTCTAAGTAGCACTATAAATGCTGCATCCAAAGGTGATTTAGAGCTCAATACACGTCCAGATGGTGAGGTGAGGTGCCTATTTGCCCATTTTCTGTGAAGGAAGGCAGCTAAGAAAAAGAAAGCAACAGGCAAAACTACCACAGACAAACATTTGTAGTCTACCTCAGAAAATATCATCTTGACCACATGCATATTTCAATGATGTGCTCTGTATTATACATTATGACAAGGCATAACATAATACCCAGTTGTACGACCTACAGTGCACTTATTTATAGATTAAGATACGGTCACTCATGTTGTTACAAACCAGCATGATTTTCTTTTGTCTGTGAAACCACAAAATAAGATATTTTACAGTCATTTGAACTCTAAAAACGACATAAAAACCACTAAAAGGGTAGTTGATAGAGCTTGTTAAAAAGTTATAGTTTAATATTAATATACATTTGTTGTGCTTTAAAGTACACTTATTTTGATGTTCTGTCTACTAAAGCTCATGATCATAGTTGTAACTGTAGTGTGAAATATTACATTTAAAGTTAATATATTTTTAAATGTACTAAATTGTAACTTCATTACAAATATATTTAAAAACCTCAATTTGAATTATAAGACATTTTCATTATATTGCAATTAACATTATCTCACACACACAATAAAAAGTACACATTAGTATGGCTATTGAGAAGTTAACATACACAACTGACATGGAACAGAGGATGCATCTCCTCGCATTAAAGGCGTACTGATATATGACTAAGTCTGTGAAAATGTGTTTATTTGTAAAGTAAAACAGACTGTTTAACTGTATAACTGGAAGTGAAATGAATCACACACATTCTGTCAGTTTGTGTGGGCAGGAGTTTAGTTAAGCATAGAGCACAGAAGCCTACACAACACAAACATCTGCCATTCTCACATTAAACAATAACTAAGAAAGAATTTATAGATTTGGAGATTTTAATGTTGGGTTAGTTCACCCAAAAATGAAAATTCTGTCACTACTCACCCTCAAATCGTTTCAAACCCGTAAAACTTTTGTGAATCTTCAGAAGATTAGTGTTTTTTAATGAAATCTGAGTGCTTTCTGTAAAGACATCATTAAAGTAATCCATGTGACTTTAGAGGTTTAACCTCAGTTTTATGAAGCGATACGAGTGCTTTGTTTACGCAAAAAAACACAATTTACCACTTTATTAAAAAAAAAAATACTAATCCACAACAGGTGTTCGACCGAGAACCACATCATGAGATTAAAATCTTGTAAATAAAGTGGTAAATTGAGGGGTTTTTTTGTGCAAACTTTATAAAACTGAGGTTAAACCACTGGAGTAACATGGATTACATTAATGATGTATTTACTACCTTTCTGGGGCTTGAAAGTGTCAGTTGCTTAGCTGTCAAAGGAGGGACAGAAAGCTCTCAGATCGAAAAGATGGGTTTTACAGGTTTTAAAATGACATTAGGGTGTCATTTATAGCATAAATGATGACAGAACGTTAATTTTTGGGTGAACTATCCCTTTAAGTCACAAATTTATAATGCATTGCATTTGATAAACCGAATGGCATCAACAAACAACTGATACTAAAAATTCTCTCACAACCAACGTTCACCAAATATGTGGCCAAATTAATACCTGACATCTGAAATTTTGTCTATTTTACCATTTATAACCTAACATAGATATAGGTTCCTTGTTTTCGCAACTAATGCAATGATTTGAATAGATTTATAACTGTATTTAGTTGTGGCGCAGGTAACTAAATACCTTTTGGGGCCACTGTACGTAATTTTTAGTGCATTGCAAAGGTTTCTCAATCAATCTTTCCTATTGAGTGAAATATCTGTTCAGTAGTCAGCAAACCATAAATCCTACTCTGACACTAGTAAAATCATATGCAAATCGTTAAAAAAAAAATCCTCTTGTTGATTAAACAATTTGTCAAGCACATTTTTCTAATTAAAAGTGATCTCCAAAAATGTTCTTGTTTTTCAGTTTGGGGTTTATGACTAATGTTTCTTATTAAAGCTCTATTTTGAGAACAAGGATACTCTAAACTTTTGCCTGGACCCCTCACAATAAAGTGGAGATTTCTGGACGAGCTGGAGACTCCAGAGAAATCTCATTGCACAGATGGATTTATATTCTTGGCAAGCATTCACTCTCTCTCTCTCTCTCTGTGTATGTGTGTGTGTGAGGTTTTCACAAGGAATACAGAGCTACTCTATAATGTGTGAAGGACTCATTACATTTAGGAAGAATAACAACAAAAATGGCGAACAAAAGCCAACTTCTGATTGGCTGCAACAAAATTAGAGGACCTAGCCAAATGTAGCTAGCTCAATTTCAAACAATATTTTGCATAATTTTAACAAGGTTGTTACACTTAAATATGTATGCTATTCACCTTTAGTGCATACATGCACACTGAAAAGCAGAGTGTGAGAAACTGGTTAAGCAGACTTCAAATCCTCTCCTAAAACAGCTTTGCATTATTCAGTAACGACTGTCAGATTTCACACGAAGGAGATCTGCAATAATCCCTCTTCTCTGATCATTAGACTAATTAAATCCAGGCTAACGGGAAATCTGCTTCCTGAACTTCCTACTTTGTCACAACTTGGCTAAGGAACAGTCATG